TATTAAACAGTGTTGGACTCAGATTACATCCTTGTTTCACTCCAATATGAGATTGAAAGAACGGGGTTACGCCTTGTTCTAATTTAACCGCCGATTTAACAGAAGAATACATATTTAGCAAGATTGCAACAAATTTTTTGCTACATCCATATTTTATCAATTTGAAAAATAGGCCTTCTCGCCAAACACTATCATATGCTTTTCTGAAATCAATGAAACATGTAAAAATGGGTTTCCGACTTGATTTATAAGAGTCTATTAATGTTTTAAGAACAAGCAGATGATCAGATGTTCGAAATCCGTGTCTAAAACCAATCTGGTAATTATTCAAAATATTGTTTTCCTCTAGAAAATTGTTTAAACGCGTGTTTAGAATTAGAGTAAAAAATTTCCCTAAACAGCTAGAAATACATATACCTCTGTAATTTCCAGGCTCAGTTTTACTTCCTGATTTGTGTATAGGAGTTATAAATCCTTCCGACCATATTCTTGGAAAAACACCACTAGATAAAATTGTGTTAAAAAGTTTCACATAGTAAGGTGCTAAACTAGTGATTGATGTTTTGATAATTTCGTTGTTTAGCAAGTCGCTAGAGCTAGCCTTGTTATGTTTGAGTTTTCTAGAAATGTTGTAAATTTCTTGTAATGAGATAGGTTTGTCAAGAATTTCATCGCTAGTGTTTGCCCAGAGACGAAAATCTTTTACTATTTGAGCCTCAACACGAGTTTCGTCCGAGGAAAAATTAATTTTATTAAGGTCTTGGAAATAGTGAAACCATTCATCATGCGATATTGTATTAGAACAATTGGAGTGACTCGATTTGATTTTGTTAACAAGATTCCAAAATTCTTTGGGGTTGCTATCTGCTATGGATTTAATTTTATTCAGAGTCTCACTATGAAACTTTCTTTTGAGTTTCCTTATTAATTTTTTATATTCTTTTTTCTTAGTAAAGAACATGTGCCTTATAAAGGGGTCATTCGGCTGTGTTGATATTAATTTTCCTAAATTCCGTAGTTCTCTTTTAAGTCGGTAGCAATTATTATCAAACCATTTCTGTTTTTGTGTTACTCTCGTTTTACTAGATTTTTTTTTCTGTTTCTTGAGAGGGATACATTTTCTAGATGCTTTGGTAATAATTTCTGTGAAGTCGTTAACTAAGGAGTTGATGTCTAAATCATTATCGTTTGAAGGATTGAGTAAAGTGTCTAAATGATCATTGACTTCGTCAGAGTTAAAAATATCAAGCAACACTTCCCTACACTGTTCGTTACATTTGAAGGCTATAGGGTGTGATGTTAATTCAATACTAGAATCACCAGATAAATCAGGGGTTTCTGCCTTTAAAGCAAATGATAAGAAAGAATGGTGAGAGAATTCCGTAAGGGAAGAAACGGAGAAGTGACTCAATGAAGAAAAAAGATTTTGAGATACAATAGTATAATCCACAACACTCGATCCATTATATGTATGACATGTAAATTTTCCAACAAAATCTCCTTTAGACCTTCCATTTAAAGTAATTAATGAGTTCCCACAACACAATTCAGCTAAAGATCTTCCATATACATTTATGTGGGAGTCTTGAGAGTTTCGATGATCAACTGGAGAAGAGGAGTTATTATATAGATGAAAATCATTAATAGAATCCTCTAAATGACCTGATCTTGCATTGAAATCACCACATAAAATTATCTCACCAAGGCTAGCAAATTTATTTTATGTCATTTTGAAGGGTTTCATAGTGATTTATCTTTAATCTTTTTTCCCTAGGAGAATTTTGTGGAGAAATATACACTGAGCAAATGAATAAATCATGTGTTAAGTTAAAAAAAACCTTATCTAATTTCCACCAAACGAATTCTTCGCAACTTTCTTTGTCAAGAAATTTGACACCTTTACGAAGAGACGACTTCATTAAAATTGTTATTCCGCCTGAGTTTCTGAATCCATTATCTGGCATTTTTCTACATTTTGAGAATGAGTAAAACCCATCAATATTCAGATCACTGTTATCATAAGATAACCAAGTTTCTACTAGTGAAACAAAGTCAAATTTGCCTATTGTGGAAATAAAGTCAGAATCATTTATCTTTCGTGAGAGCCCTTCAATGTTCCAAGAACAGAATCTTAAAAAATTGCTGGTTACTGGCATTTTAAGACAACCACCCGTACAGTCACACATACATATACATTACATGCACACAGTGTGGAGCTCCATAAACTAAACCTGGTGTCGGAAAGGGGGGACATAGAATAGGTTGTTGTGGAGCTGGAAAGTTGGTATTGGTTTGAACTAATTGTCTTATCATGGAGGTTAAGTCGAAGAGTTGATGTTGAACGTCACTCAAAGCTGGGTTACTCTGCGTTTGTGGAGTGATTGCAGGTGAACCGTTTATAACAGCATCACTATAGCTTCTTGGATTATGAACATTATGTGTTTTCTCCTTGGGGTAATTCCGAGTTCTGGTTTGATCAGCGGGTTTACGAACAGGGTTACCCAAAGCTCTTCGAATTCCATCCTTTAGATTCTTCGCAAAGAGAGGTATTCCGTGTCTCCTGTTCAGATGTTTGTCGTCGAAATGGAATGACTGCTGATCACAACGTAGATTCCCATTGTCGACCAAAAACACATTTTGGATATTTCGAATGTTTTTAGCAACGGCTTTATTCACTTCAAACACTGATCTTACGAGTTGATCACATCTAGGTGTGATGCTCGACATAACGATCTTTTTGTTCGGGAAATTCTGAGTTGCTATTTCGACCATTTCTTGCTGTTTCTCTGTTACTTCCTGTGTCGATAAGTGTTCTAAATCGTTTACACCAGTATTAATGATAATGCCATGTTTAACATTGAATCTTGGCCATGTCAATATGTCGATGGCTTTGTCAGTTGTACCGCAAGCGATAATTTTGTTCTTTCCTTTCGGATATAGTTGATCGGCGTTGATAAATTTTCTATTTGAATCGCAAAGAAAAACAAAATCATATTCTGGTGTATGTACAGGTATGTGTCCGTCATCTAATAAGCTAGTGCCATCTTCAATCAGATTTTCTTGTGTAGTACTATTGGGGTTTTCTTCTTGGGTTGTGTGTATGAATGTACTTTCTGTGCATGTCGTTTCATTTCTCGGTATAGCTTCTGATATATTATCTACAGATGATGAGATGTCTTCTTGAGGCTTCGAGTTAGACTCTTCTAAATATTTTATTCTCTTTAATAGATTTGCCTTTTCATCGACCAAAGAACCAACGCGACCTTGAAGTCGTTTTAATTCTGCATTAGTTTTGGCGAAGCGATTATTTATTTCGTCCCGATCATTGGTTTGAGCCTGTTTGATAACCGAAAGCTCATGTTTCATTCCGGAGTTTAAAGACTCTGACAGGTCTTTCTTTATATTCGATAGCTTATTCTTGATATCAATTATATCAACATCTGTTGAGGCAATAACTTTGTCCACTTTCAATGCGAATTGCTCTAGTTTATTTATTCGACTATTGGTCTTTTCCATAAAGTCAAGAATTTGTTTTTGCTCAATATGAGGTGTCGCTGATTTTTTGTATAATTTGCGGCGAGGTGAGGAGATAACTTTGATTTGTCGAAAACTTTTGACCTTCGACTTGGTACTGGGAGATTTCAGGCCGGGTTTCTTTGGTGATTCAGAGGTCGGGTTTTCTTCAATATCATCACAATCTGAGTCATCGAGAGCATTTAACGATACGCCGTCGAGATTAGTAACACTCGTGTCAGTAAAATTTCCCTGTATAAACAACTTAAATCTTCAGTGTTTAATTCAGGTTTCAAACATACACCGTTGACGAAGGATTGTAATTTCTTTAATTCTTGATCCCATAATTCTTTCAGATTTCCCTTAATAGTGAATTTCTGTTTTGACAAATGGATAGAGATAACAAAAATGAGTTGTTTGTCAGATACATCGTCATCGCTGTCTGAGTCGTTGCCTGCGTCTCTGACCTGTTTTTGGATATCTTGGTAGAGTTTAATGTTCAACTCTACTAATTCGCCTCTTTTGTTTGTCATTCTTCGCCATGCTACATCATAGTCGTCTTGGTTCCCAAAGTCTATCCAATAACGTATTTTCAAGGCAGTAAGCCATTGCCTGAAACGTTGAATGTCTGAAACCGTGAAAAAATACTCATTTCCTGTTTCAGATACTTCAATCTGTTCTTCTAATGAGGTCTTCTCGACCACTAAACTCTCTGAAGGTTGATTCTCCACATCCCCATTCATGTTAGAAATACATTTACATACAGAAAACACGTTAAAAAAACAACTGTACGGGCGGAATTAAGATTTAAAGATGAAGGCCACGCGGAGTATATATGCAATTCAAAATTTGTTAGTTTTGGAATGGTCCATACTCATGCTATGGTATGTCAGTAAATGTAGATATTTAGTATTAATTTCCATGTTATGCTTACACTAGTTACTACAATGTTTGCCATCAGCTATAGCCTAAGCCTATCTACATAATATGCGGTCTGAAACCTACAACGTAGATATAGTCTCTTGTCTCATCGAATTTGCATTTTAATTTTCGGCCGCTTATACGCTACAACTCGTCATGTTGTAATTATATTGTATCTATAGATTGAAAGCGAAGTCTACAGAAAGTGGATTCGTTTCAATTTTCTTCAAAATCTCTCAAAAACCCAATTCTTACCCAGACAAAGCTATAATTTTCATAGTGTTTACATATCGAAAGGTCGCACTGTGTCATACTGCATACGTCACTGACCGCGCGATGGAATGTCAGGAATTTCGCCAGTAGATAGTCGAAAAAGCGAACTTTAATCGTAAAATTAACAAACTTCTGGTTCGAATTTTTCAACAAGGTTTGTATTTTTATGATCGGAAAAGTCCAAATTTTCAGAAAATGCAAAAAACCCGATATTATTATTATTATTAATGGTTTATTATAAAAATCGTCGCGCTCGATGAAAGCGAATTGCGAAATTATTTACAAACTTTAGTTAAAAGTATTAAAAAGTACCTTGTGTTACTGGCATTATATTACAACAATAGTTTACTAATCTATGAATTAATATCGAAAGAACTTTTAAATTTACAAAATTTACAAAATTTATAAATTATGTGATTGAATACACATAGTAGGAAAAAAGCTTTTCTTAAAGCGCTCCGTCTTACAAGGAAACAGTGTTAATCTATTTCCGTACCTTAAATTACAATTGTGTCCATTGGCCCGAGAAGGTGGTATTAAATGGTTAAGGCGTGAATCAGGCTGTCTGATTTTGTCAAAAGTTTTTATGCACAAACCATCACGTCTTGCGCGTAATGTCGAACATTTAGCTTGGTCCAGAGCAGCGTCATAGCTTAATGTGGGGTAGATTATTCGCATTGTGCGCTTCTGGACCCGTTCAATTTTATCTGACAAGTTAATGGTCAATGATGAATGCCATACCGGACAGCAGTACTCAAGCAGGGATCTAATAAGTGCAAAATGTACTCGTAGTAAATGAAACGGTGAAACTCCACTGCGCTTGAGAACTCGTAAGATGTGTAGTCTTTTTGATGCTTTGGTTACTATCTCACTGATATGCAAATCCCACTTCAGATTATTCTGGATCGTTAAACCTAATACTTTGTGGGATTCTATTCTTTCAAGACTAATGGTTTCAACAACTAAGGTGGGTGGTGGCTGCTCAATATCTCGTCGAAAGGAGACAATCATCTCTTTACACTTTTTGGGGTTCAATTTCATATTATTGGTACTTGTCCAATTACCAATTGCGTCCAATTCGTTTTGTAGTATAGATACCTCCCTTGTTGGAACAATCTCAGATATCGTCACGTCGTCTACGTACTTCCAATTACTGGAACGCGGGGATACTATTTTCAAATCATTAATCATTATAACAAAAAGGATTGGACCCAATTTGGTACCCTGTGGGACCACAGCACTAGTTGAAAGCCATCGGGACACGCACTGTCCCAGCTTAACACACTGGCGGCGATTTGAAAGGAAGCTACAAATCCAAGGGATTATTGAACGGCGCACTCCCAAATCGATCAATTTTGTTATAACAATATTGTGGTCTATTCTATCGAAAGCTTTGCTAAAGTCCAGAAAGCAAGCTCTAAGGTAATGACCTGGGTTGTCCATTTTAGAAAGCCAGTTGTGGATAAGATCTAGAAGGCAAAGGGTGGTAGATGTTCCCTTCAGGCTGCCATACTGACGATTATCGATTTGTCCACCTATGTCCTCAACCATCCAACTAACCACAAAGTCTTCGAGTACTTTCGATAACACAGGTGTAAGTGCGATGGGGCGGGTATCGCTCTCAACCTGGGTTTGTTTCGCTTTAGGAATGGGTATGATGGTAGAATCTTTCCATAAAACAGGTACTAGTCCAGAGGACAAAGATGTATTAAATATTGATGTAACTGGCTCAGCAAGTTCGTAGGCGAACTCTTTTAAAATTCGTGATGGAATACTGTCCGGGCCCATAGCCTTATTAGTCTGAAGTTTTAAGAGCTTACTACAAACCTCATGAGGATGAATTGTAGGAGGCGGCACCGCAGCTGGTAAGAATGTTGGAAGTCTTGAAATATCAAGTGGTGGGATATCACTTGCTACACTTACGAAATAATCATTTAGAGACTCTGCCAGTTCACCTTCCGATAATAACTGTCCGTCACGCTCAATTGTAAACTGAGGTTGACTTTTCGCTCTACCAAATATCGAAATTTTCATTTCATATACACTTTAAACAATGTGAATATATTCTGTAAGGAATTTAAACGGCTTCGTGAACGTATTTGAACGTTTTGAGCCAAACGTTGAAACGATTTAGCAACATTTTTCAAACTTTTTCTCCAACCGTTTGAACGGTTCAGCCAGACGTTTGAACGATCTCAAAAATCGTTTCAACGGAACGCTAAAGCGTTTAAACGGATAACGAACGGATAACGAACGATTTTTCAGAACGTTTTTCAAAACCGTTAACGTACGTTTTCCCAAGGAGGGTCACAATTATGCACTGTACAATCAAATTTTCTACAGGGACCAGTTGTTCAAGGCTGGATTAGCTTAACCCTAGGTTAACCTGACACCTTGTCTATAAATGTACAAATATTTCTTCAGAGATCTTGTCTGGATCGATACGAGTTTTCTTCTCTGAAGTTTAAAATAAACAGACGTGTACAGTAGAAATACACAAACTAAAACAGCAGGCTAAATTTTAACCCAGGGTTAGCGCTAGTCCAGCATTGAACACCGGCCCCTGGGGCAGTGTAATTACACTTTATACTATTATAACCTACACTTATTTAATTAAAATTTCCTAATATTATATAATTTTATTTATATACATGGCCAGAAATAAATAATGAGTACCTAAAAGTCATTAATTGTTAATGTCAAGTCTCACTCAGCTGGTCTGCTTTTAGGGACGGACCATTTGATTTTTGATGGGGGGGGTGGGTAGATTTTCAGTTTGCTTGATATTTTTTTTCCGCCTCCTGACACTGTTTGATTTTTTTTTGCCAGTCAGAGGACTTGCACGATATTTTTTTGTATGCATGTATATACATTTTTCAGTTTTTTGTTTTTACATTTTTTAGTATATAATAGGTCATTGGACAAGTACTGGTGTAAGACATTGTGTAGCCTAAATAATGAGAGGACCAGTACTCAAAAAATGGTTGTTCTTCATTTCTTTACTCCGACTCCTATGATAAACATGTACGTAAAAAAACTAGGGAAACTACGATTATATATAGAAACTAAAGTAGGTGAAATTTTTATGGGACTCCATAAAAGGTGAGGATATAAGAGTGAGGGATTGAAATTGAGTAGGAAAGGCAACCCTACACGCGTTTCGACCTAACAGTCTTCTTCAGCAGGGTTTTTTAAAGGGGAAATATAGAATTTGCAGAGGAGAAGAAAGGAGAGTTTAGGAGTTCGGAAAATAATGTGAACTTGGATCCCCTACGTAGCAAAATCCACACCAGAACTAGCTATAGCTACAGTATCTATTGGTCATATCGTATCATTCATTTACTAATCTCTGTTTTGGTTTTGTTATATATGTACATGTTTTAGTTATTATTGTATATTCATATATTTTAAACAAAAATCAAACCCTGCACGGTGTTATCATTATTTTTATCCCTTATGTATCACTAATTGCCAAACGCCCTTATCCCTGTCTTATAAGCTCCTACACCACTAACACCATATTTGGATGCAATCACCTACAGTCACATGATCACCCACCCTTACCATCACAATCATTCAAACTCACTATACCATTGAGTAAATTAACCTGCAAATTTGCTTCACTTCACCAATACGAACGATGAACAATAAAGTGCGTAGTGTTGGAATGTCCCGCAAACAACAAGACCTTTGGTAGGATAACTTGACTAATAACATGTATAATGGTTACATCCTTTCACTGTGTAATTGGTTATTTTCAGCTTTTTTGTAATAATTTGTTTTCCTCTTGGTCTCACATTATTTTCCGAACTCCTATGAACTCTCCTTCCTTCTCCTCTTCAAATTATATCAACACCCCCCCTCCCTCCTCTTAAAAAACCCTGCAGGCTGAAGAAAACTGTTAGATCGAAAATCTATTCCTACTCAATTTCAATCTCTCGCTCTTATATCCTCGCCTTTGATCGTGTCCCATAAAAATTTCACCTATTTTGGTTTCTACGGCCGTGATTTAATCGTAGTTTTCCTAGTTTTTTTACGTACATGTTCATCATAGGAGTCGGAGTAAAGAAATGAAGAACAACCATTTTTGGAATTATACTGGTCCTCCCATTATTTATGCTACAGGGCCGTAGGAAGCTCTTTTTGATTGGGGGGTCTGGAAGCGAGGGCCGAAGGCCCGAGGAAATTTTTAAATTTAGAGTCTCTGAAATGCCATTTCCTGGACCCTGCAGCCCCCTGGTTGCTACATACGGCCCTTGGCTACACGCGGAAATGCACCGAATGGCAAATAAGGATTACCACTCGAAAGTCTTGCTCGATATTTTTTTTCGTCCGTTTATTCTTGCACGATATTTTTTTTAAGTTCGAATTGCTTGCCCGATATTTTTTTTGGGATTCTACCCACCCCCCCATCAAAAATCAAATGGTCCATCCCTTAGTTACTCCTCTTCGAGCCCCACAGCATTGGTCCTGTACCTTGTACTGCATAGCAGCTGTCTTTCCATAGACTGTATAATCCAGACCAAAAGCTGAAAAAATAGGAATTGAT